ATCTATATGTCGCCAAGTATTCCATGGCTTCACCTGTGTGCCAGTACATGCTGTTCCCTGGAAGGCGGGATGGTGTTTCCTTCCTCTCTTATCTTCTCCCACTGTCTCTCTTGGATTTTCCAGCCTGGCTCCATCCTGCCCTGCCATAGGCCAATGCAGCTTTGTTTATCAACCAGTCAGAGCCACACATATTCACAGCATACAGAAAGACATCCCACAGTATATAATAGTATATATAATACTGCTAATTATGTCACAGATAATATATGATAATATATACTATATATAATATTGCATATTATATTACATATATAATATTTTCTCACCTAACCTCTATTTCCTAGTCTCAATCCTTCTGTCAACCTTTTACATATTTTCTATGGCTTTCTGTACATTAGGTTTGCATATTAGCAAGTTTGTTATTGGAAGTAATTGTGGCCTTCATGCAAACAGACTCCTAAAAACAGCATTGCTGAGCAAGGTGCTTGTTTAACAAATGCTAAACAATGAATGTTTCCCAAGGAAACAGCCCCTACTTGTAGAACGCACTCTAGCCACAGTCAATTTCAAGCTAAGATAATTCACAAAATGCAAAATTAGAAAGAGGCAGCATGTTTTATAGTATTTCCATCATAGAAATATATCAGAAGAAAATGTAGTAAAACTGGAAGTGGGGAGTTTTAAACATTATCTTTTAAGCGATGTTTAGTTAGAAGTTACTTATTCATTTCTTTTGTGTGTGTGTGTGGTGTGTGTGTGTGTGTGGTGGGGATCTGACCTAGGGCTTTGTACATGCAGGCCAAGTGCTTTTTCACTGAGATATACTCCAGCCTTGTGCTTTACTCTTTTATACGATGGTGTTTGACAACCGGCTGGTGAAATTCATCTCCAACACAATACTGTCCTGGTGCACCTTCTCCATCATCCCTGTCTCTACTGCCTGCTGACAAGTTGCTCCAGGCTCTTCTATGAAAAAACCACAAACTCAACAGACTGAAATCTAAAATGCTCTCCTCTTTGAAATTCCTGGCGCCCCAGTCTCCTTTTCTCTTGATTTGGCTATTTCTATAAAACTGTGTCTCCAGTTTATGCAATGTTCTTTCCTCTGCCTCCTTTTCATTTCAGTTGGTTACTGCCCTCCTTCAGACCAACCAACCAGCCTCTTCTCTTTCAGGCTCTTTTCACTCCAATTGATCTGACAATTATTGTGTTAAAATAATATTCCAAATGCACAGCTCTAATGTGATAGCTTATCCATTCAAAACACACAGAGAGACACACAGACATAGACACAGACACAGACACACACACACACACACACACACACACACACACACACACACACACACAGTTGGTCTTCAAAGTTCTCCTCAGGCCGGATAACTGGACAGCTCCATGTTCCCTAAACTTGGAGTTTGTCCTTTAATTCACGATTCAGTTCTGCCCAAATCACTCTTCCTCTTCCTGTTCCTAGAAAGACTCAAACCTTTGATTCAAGACTCCGTTCAAGCATTAATAAAAATATGTGAGTTGGTTGTTATAAATCAATTGAAATCTGCAGAGTAGAAACAAACAAGCTATGCCTAATCCAGTAATCATTTAAAGATAGCAATGCATTTGATCACTGCCCTTTCTGGAGGCTCCATGAACCACACTGCCCTGAGGCAGTACTTGCTTCATTGTTATGATTAAAAGGTCTGCTGGGAGTCAACATGCGATTGATCGCAAACCTATGGATTTCAATTGTACCTGCCACAGCTGTTCTTCATTAGCGGACAGGACCAAGAATTGTCTGTACTTTAACTATTTGGTATTTACTGTAATTATTTCTCTTTGAATGCTGTGAGCAAATTGGGTTGAGGGGGTGGGAGAGGTGGGTGGTAGAGTCCTGGTACCCCTGGACCCAGGGCTATAACTAACATTGATAACGTTCGTCTTTAAGATGCTGATTTGTTATTAAAGACCAGAAGCAAAGCATCAGGAATTCGGATCTTTTCTATGCATTTCTTCCTTTAGCCTTCCTCCAACATTGAGAGTAAAAAAAAAAAAAAAACACTTCCGAAGCTTGTTTTTGTGAGAGGGAAAACCACAAAGGCCCACAGAGGCCTGCCAGGGACCAGCGATTCCTTTTCCTTTGTGTTTCAGATAAGAAGCTAAGCAAACAGGTTGGAGCAGTCAGCCCCCTTGGTCACTGACACTAACTTTCCTAGGAAGATGAGCTGTGGAGAGCTGGACCACTTGGCCCTGGAGAGATGGAAGGCCTTGGGAGAAAGGCAGCAAAGGTAAAAGCATGCGGGAACCGCTGAGATTGTCCCTGGTGGTCCACAGAGTCCTCCCATTTGAACACTTGTTGCAGTGTGGATGATCTGGTGCTCCCAAACCTACTGAAACAGACTTACTACAGCTCAGATCAGGATCAGGCAAGATCAGGACCATGCATGGGGTGCAGCCAGCGGTTCTGACGCACATTCAAGATTGAGAATCAGACGGCCTGAGGTGAACAACCACCTTTGAGTTAAAAAATAATAATAATAAGGTTTTGTTTTGTTTTACCTTGTTAGGGTTTGGAGAGAGAGGAGAAGGCAGAATAAGGGGGGAACCAGAAGAAAATATGGCACAATCATCAAGTCTAAAACATTTCCTTTTAACATTTTATCATTTACAGAAACATTTTCTTACCTGTGTGGTGCATCTCAACTAGAAGGATGCATCTGAACTCCGTCCTGTCCCCATCTTGCCATAGCTAAAATGCCCAATTATGAGTGTATAAAAATAAATAAATAAAAATTGAGAGTGACAAAACAAAGTTATTATCTAAAATGCATTTACCATTCTTATGAGTGGAGGCAGAAATATGTAAACACAGTCACAATAAACATTCTGCAACATCTTTAAAAACACTTTTTCACCCAGACAGGAATTTTGATAGTGATATTTGAATATTATGAAATCCCAAAGCCACATACATAAAAATATACAAAGGCAATAAAGAAAATGTGAAATAAGTGCTTTCTACTTAAAAGTTTGTTGTTGATGTTTTAAGAATCCTGAAGTAGGTGTACCTCCTAAGAACTCGTGAAAGAGGCTGTGAAATCCCTGTCAGAAGAGTTTGAAGACTCAGGAAAGGAAACTATGCCAGTTGGGCGCATAACGCCATGACAGACTGCAGTCCCTTTAGGGGTAAGTAGCTCCTAGATGTTTGTTACCCATTTGTGAATGTTTATTGTTGATGTGCAGAATCTGTAACTAAGTATTGACTTCCAATACATATTAACTCGCAAGTGGCTTGCCATGGTGAGCTGTGCTGAAGTTTCCTCTCACGGCGACTTTCTGTTTTCTTCTCTCCCGAGGAAAAGATTGGAAATCCCTAGGAGCAGCCACACTGACTCTGACGTGTTTTCATAAAGATTAAACTATAGACCCAATGTTAAGAAGCAACGTTTCAAACACCAGATAAAGTCTTGAAACCCGGCTAGCTTCACCATTTAACAAAATCGTGACTCATTTCAGTAAGACCGTGCTTTTTTAGTAAGAAAAAAAAAATGCTTTCCGAGCTAAGTTTGAACTGCTAGGGCACTTGGGACACTCACAAACCCAGTCAGCAGAAGTCTCAAACTCCTAAAAGATTAAAGGCAAAATAAATTGGTGTATATTGAGAATGAAAAGAAAAAAAAATCCCCAAGGGTACAGATTTATAAACAGAAGTAACGCTAAAACTCCCCTGAAATCCCCCAATTGCCAATCCTTATGAATTCAGCACTTCGCGCTTTCCTCCTTTGGGAACCTGTAGTTAAGGTAACCACGACACAGACTCCTCTGTATGTAGCTCAGTGGTTCTCAACTTAACGTTGCCCCTTTAATACAGTTCCTCATGTTGTGGTGACCCCCAGCCTTAAAATTATTTTCGTTGCTACTTCATAACTGTAATTTTGCTACTGCTATGAATCAAAACGTAAATATCTGATATGCAGGGTATCTGATAGAGACCGGTGGTTGGACTCACCCACTCCCCCATGGGTCGCGACCCACCAGTTGAGAAATGCTGATTTAGCTTTTTAAATTCATGTGTGCAAACGTAGGGTTTCCTGAGAACTGCTAGGGACTGGTTGTTTGGGATCCAGCGGATACACCCAGCAGGTGTCTGATGCTGAACCGGAGCGCACAAAGCAAGAGGCACTGAGCGCACCATGCAGGAGGCAGAGGTGCCCGTGGTGGACACCGCCTGGGGTGGGTGGGGCCGGGGCATATGTCTAAGTGAGGGAGGAAGGGCCTGTGACAAAACGTAGGTGGTGTGTGGGCTGCAGGATCTGGGAGGGGAGTGAAAGATGAGCCCGGGGGCCCGATCTGTCAAAGGCCGCAGCCACAGGTCGGCATGTATTTAAGTATCCTTTGTCACTTACTAGTGAATTTAAGATGTCCCTTTAAAACTAAGTGACAAGATGGACCCAGCCAAATATCTTTGGGCCAAAAAAAACCCTATGTTCCCATTCTCTATCGCCCTGTTCCCGGGTGTGTGTCTCGGGGTAGGGGAGGGGTGCGAGCTGTTTAAACCCATCTCCCAGGTTGGGGTTGGGGGGGCAGTTTAAACCCCTGTCTCCCGGGGGGTGCAGTCCCAACCCTCAACGCGGGAGAGTTTGCCCCACCCATCCAAAGCGCCGCTGGTTCGGGCTCGGGAGCCCTGGAGCCTGCAGAGTGGAGCGACCGCGTTGCGGCTGCCGCAGCCCCCCAAAGCCGCATCAGCGGGACCGGGCGAGGGCCGGCGCCACCCGGGCCAACGAGCGGGGTTTGTGCAGGAAAAGGCGCCGTGGCGGGCCCGGGCCGCCCCTCCCCAGCTCGGGCTCTCCGCCCGCCCGCCGTCCCAGCCTCGCAGCGCGCCAGGAGCTGCACCGCGGCGCGAGAGGCGAATGGGAGCGGCGGCCAGGCGGGCTGCAGCTTGGGCGACCGCGGAGGCGGCGGGCAGGGCGCGTGCGCACTGCAGGGGCGCCAGATTTGGCGGGAGGGGGAGTGTCCAAAGCTCTTTGTTTGATGGCATCTGTTTACAGAGTTACACTTTAATATCAACCTGTTTCCTCCTCCTCCTTCTCCTCCTCCTCCTCCGTGACCTCCTTCTCCTCCCCTTTCTCCTGAGAAACTTCGCCCCGGCCGTGCGGAGCGCCGCTGCGCAGCCGGGGAAGGACGCAGGCAAGGCGGAGGGCAGCGGGAGGCGGCAACCGGTGCGGTCCCCGGGGCTCTTGGCGGAGCCCCGGCCCGCCTCGCCATGGCCCGGAGACCCCGGCACAGGTAACGGGGAGCCTGGGCGGGCGGCCTCGGGCAAGGGCGCGCGGGGATCCAGGGACCTGGGAGCAGGTGGGAATTCCTTCCCAAGTAGTTCGCGGGGCTGTCAGTCGGTACCTTGGCGGCAGAAGCCACTCTGGAGATGGATGAATGGAAAACTCTCTGCGAGAAGCGCACCGGTACAGTGGGAAGCATGCCCAGGGGCTCATTTTTTTTTTTTTTTTGCAAGTTGCGTGGGGATATGTTTCTCTTTGGGGGGGGGCACGTTTTCAGCCAAGGACTGGACGGTTCCATCAAACCTGGGGAAGCCCACCAGGTGTTTGGCTTGATGCCCCAGTGTCGGCGAGGGAGTCGCAGCCTAATTGCTGGATGCATTGAGATTTTTTTTTGCACTTGGAGTTGAAGAGCATATGGCAGATATAGGAAAAGGCCGGATTGTTTAGTGGCTGCAGGTAGTTCATTTAAATTTCATTCATTCATTATGGAGGCAAGAAAGGTGTCAGCTGACAGGCTGCCGCAAAGATTTTAGGGGGATAAAATGGGTTTGCAGATTGCTTTAAACCCTGCTTTTGAAGATCCGAGTACTTGTTCTGGGAGAGGCTTTTATTTCTACTGCAAACACTGCACGCGCCCGCGTCGCACATGTCACCGCGCTCGTCGGGATGATGGGTGCAATCCTTTTCCATTTGGGCCCCACGTTCGGGTAGAGAGATCAGAAACAGAAGCGAGCGCTGGACGGAACTGTCAGTTGCTGACAGCTTGGGTCTTGCGGGTCTCGGGATTTCCCGAGGACACACCGGGGCTCCCAGCGAGCAACGGATGCGGGGGGTTGGCTCGGTGGCGGCCGTCCCTGGGCGCAAAGTGCTGGAGACACCCAAGGCAGCTGCAGCGTCCCTGGGGCTACGTCGCCGCGCCTCTGATCCGGGACAGAGAGAGGTCCAGGCGCCCGGCGCACACGTGGACGCAGCTGAGGTCTGCTCCCGGCCGCTCTGCTCCAGCTGCCTTAGGTAGCCCGCCTCTGGCAAGGTTAGGGGACGACCCTAGAGAAAGGAGTCTGGCAAACACACACACACACACACACACACACACACACACACACACACACA